GATGAATAGCTGGCAAATTTTTTTTCCCATTCTGTAGGTAGTTTCTTCACTCTGGTTGTTTCCTTTGCTATGCAGAAGCTTTTTAATTAGATATAATCCCATGTGTTGATTCTTGGTATTATTTCTTTTCATTTTTGGTTCTGGGGATCAAACTCAGGACCTTGCGCTTTCTAGGCAGTTGCCAGAACCACTGAACTAAATCCCTGGCCCTTGTTATTATTTCTCAATGCAGTTGGGGTTCTGTTCAGAAAGTCCTTGCCTGTGTCTGTGTGTTCAAGAGTTTTACCTAATTTAGCTTCCAGCAGATTTAGTGTTTTAATACCTAGACCTTTGATCCATTTTACCTTGATAGTAGAATAAGAAATACAGGTCTAGATTCATTCTTCTGCACATGGATAGCCAGTGTTCCCAGCACCATTTTTTAAATCTTAAATTCTCTCCACTCTGAATTTTGTCACTGTCATCCCTGTGGGTTGATAAACTGACCTGAAACCCCAAGGCCAAAGACAAGGGCTATTTGATAGAAGACTTCTGGGACTTCTTCGTCAAACTATGGGAACATAACAGAAGGCATGTGTAATTTTCCCCCAAGACATGTAGAGATACAACTTTATAGGCATTAGAACTTCGTGTTAGAATGGTTGGTTTACTTCTTTCAGTTGTCATAAAAAGTCTGTCAGTAGGGAAGATGGTTGGACCTCTGTAGACTGTTAGAGAAGACTAATAATTAGAAGGCCCACTTGTAGTTCTAGCACTTGTGCTTAAGGTAGTGTGGTTGTGAACAAAGATGCTTACCTCTTTTGAGGCCTCAGGATTTTCTTTTTTTTTTGGTGGTGGTACTGGGAATTAAACCAGTGTTCTTCACAGCGAGCTTCATCCCGAGCCTTTTATTTTTTTAAATTTTGAGACAATGTCTTGCTGAGTTTCCCCAAATGGGCTCAAACTCATGATCCTCCTCCTTCTCGCCTTCTAGAGTGCTCGGATCACAGGGGTGCACTACAACACCCAGCTTCAAGTTTTGGGTTGTTTGTTTTGAAACAGTATACATTTCAGGCTGGCCTTGAACTCATTGTGTAGCCCAGGATGGCCAATGCTGGGATTGTAGGCATGCACCACCGTACCTAGCGTGCTTTAGGTTTCTTGATCTGATAAAATGAACTTTCTAAACTGTAGAAAGCAGTGCAAGGACTTTTTTTTTGTCAGCTTATGATTGCAGAGGAGACTGCATACTTTGTACTTAAGAGACAGGTTGTATAGGCACCCCCTATACCCACCCCAGTGTTCTTAGAAAAATTAGAATTTATCTTAGTGCAGCTAAGCCCTTCTTCCCAAAGGGTAGATGATATGATTAGAGGACAGATTTCAGACCAAAAATATGGCATCATATTGCTCATAGAGAATCAGCAATATGCCATAGAGGTAAAGGCAAAGCTGGAACTATGAACCTGATGTCTTAAGATACATTTGTGTCTTGAGATAATGGTCTTGCAAATTGTTCTGAGAATTTAGTGATATACAATGCCTGTGAAGGACACAAGTCTGTCAGTTCAGGTGAACAATGGCAGATGTTACATGGTTTGGTTTGTTACCCTTTGCTAGCCCAATCTGCTGATAACTTTAAAGCCCTTAAGAATTGAGAACATAGGATTTGGGGTTTTTGTTTTTTGGGAGGGCAGTACTGTGAATTGAACCTAGACCCTTGTGCATGCTAGGCAAGTGCTGTATCACTGATCTACATCCCCAGACCTTTTTACTTTTTTTTTTTTTTTTAATTCTGAGACAGGGTCTAGCTAACATGGCCTCAAACCTGCCACAATCCTGTCACAGCCTCCTGAGTAGCTGGTATTACAATGGTGTGCCACTGCACCCAGCTGGATTTGGATTTTTTCATAAAGCTATTCAGAGAAACATAGACTTGTCTTCATGTCAAGTGGAAATTCAGAATTTCACTGATGCCAAACGGGAGACAGAAAAGTACCTTCAGTTCCACCCTTTGGCAGCAGGTGGTGACTCTTGGACACAGGTCTTGTATACAGGTTTAGACTAAATAAAGCTTTGACACAACGGTAACAGTAGTGAGATGAAACAGGAATATCATGTACCTTCTGAATGCTATTTTTTTTTTTCCTCAACCAGATGTACATACTAAGGAGAATATTGTAGGAGTGGAAAGAGCACTAGCTTGAAAACTGACATTATCGCATGTAACCTCACTTTCTTTAAAGCCATGCTGTCAGGGAGGGGGTGGCAGCAACAAGACACAGTGGGGCTACAAGCAAGGGAAGTCATACCAAAAAGAATCTGAGAAGGCTCCTTGAGGTATGAGCTAAGCTTGAAGGTGGGAGACTTGATATGGAGAAGTAGAAGAGAGCACTGAGCAAAAGGTACAGCTTTAAAAATTAGGGGATTAGGCAACAGAACATTAGACTGGCAAGGGAATACTGGAGTAAATTTGGAGAGCCCAGGAACTATATTGTAAAGAATCTCAATTGCCAAGAGTGAACCTTATCCTAATGGTAAAGGGAAGTGACAGTGTCAGATTTTAGTATTAAACAGCTGACTTTAATTAAGGGAAAAACTTCAGCCAACAGTTTCCAAGTGTAGCACAATGTTGTGAACCACATGCATATTGTATATAGACAGTTTATTTCCATTTTTTCCTCTTGCAGTATGGGGGATTGAACCCAGGGACAATCAACCTCTGAGCTACATCCTCCCCCTCCTTTGTTTTTGAGACAGGGTCTTGGTAAGTTGCTCAGGCTGACCTCTAACTTGAGATCCTCCTACTTTAGTCCCTTTACTAGCTAGGCTTATAGGCATCTAATGACAATCCTCCCTCCCTCTTTTCTAGTGCTGGGGATTAAACCTATGGGGTGCTGTGCTACATCCCTAGCCTTTTTTTTTTATTTTGAGAGAGGATCTCACTTAAGTTGTCCAGACTGGCCATAAACTTACTATTCCTCCATTTCTGCTTAAGTAGCTGAGATTACAGGCATATACCATTGTGCCTAAATCTTTGGGTTTTTTTCTTCTTTAATTTTTACTAGTATGCATTTGCAGTACATTAATGATTACCTTCATCGTGGGGAGTTGGAACACAAAGTTAGCACATCCTTTTTCATCCCCTTCTCCCTCCTATTTTTTAATGTAGGCACTCAAGTATAAATTTCCCTTGTAGTGCTGTTTTTGCTGTATCCTGTAGATTTATTATGTATCTCTCAGATACATGGGTCACTGTCAGTCAAAAGTTTACTGCTCAGTCTCCGTATGTTTGTATAATTTTGCAGTTAGTCTCTTACTGATGATTTCTAGTTTCATTCTGTTATGATCTGGTAAGATGCAAAAAAAATTACTTTAGTATTTTAACACTTGCTAAGACTTGCTTTTGTGGCCTAAAATATCTGTTTTAGAAAAAGTTCCATGAGTTGATGCATGTTTATTCTGCAGCTGTGGTATACATGTGGTATTTTAATGGCCAAATTGAGATTATACTACTTTATAACTTATTTAGTCAATAAACTCCACCTTTCTCTTTTAGTAAATTGCCTGGAGATCGAGAACAGTCTAATACATTTTTCCAGTTAACCAAGTGACCCAAATGTCATTCTCAACTATTCTGACCAATATCCAATCTAGGACCACAGGTTGTATTTGTATACTCCTTTGCTCAAACATGAAGAAATTGGGTCACTTTAGCTCCAGAGAATTGTAGCCATGTGGAGGATGGATTGAAAGGAACAGGGCAACCAATCTGAGAATGATGACTGGACTAAGAAAGTGATGGTGAAGGTGGAGAGTGAGGATGGAATTTTCAATTACATGTCAATCTCAGGATTTAAGATGGAGAAGTCAGGGAGGAGGGAAGGGAAGAGTTAAAGATGACAGGCTTCTGGATTAGGTATTTGGATGATGTGGTACCTTTCAATAGGAAAGTAACACTGGAGGGAAAGACAATGGAAAAATGTAAATTTTAGACAAATTGAGTAAGAAATTATGTTGAAAGGCCAGACGTGGTTCTGCACACCTGTAATCCCAGCACTTGGGAGGTAGAGACAGGAGGATTGCTGTGAGTTCAAGGCCAGCCTGGGCTACATAGTGAGACCCTGTCTCAAGAAAAAAAAAATGATGTCAAAATAACCCATTGGTTACATGGATCTGAAGCCAAGAGATGTTAATGAATGACCTATGTTTTGCAGTATGGCACATTTAATGGAGTGGGCTCAAGGCAATTATGTTTCTAAAAAATGGACATCATTTTAAGAGGAGTTAGATTCTCACTTCAGCAAGCCTGTTAATCCTAGCACTCTGGGAGGATGAGGCAAGGGGATCACAAGTTAGAGGCCAGCTGGGCAGCTTCGTGACTTAGTGAGATCCTGTCTTAAAAAATTAAAAAAGAGCTAGAGATTCTGTAGCTCAGTGTGAAGGACCTGGGTTCAATCCCCAATACTGCCCCTGCCCCTTTTTTGAGACAGGGTCTCACTGAAGTTCAGGGTGGCCTTGAACTCACTAGGTAGCCTAGGCTGGCCTCAAACTCAGTGATTCTCTTGCCTCAGCCTCCCGAGTGCTGGGACCACAGGCATGAGCCACCACTCCTGGCCACACTGCCAAAAATTAGTAAACAGTATAAACATAAATATACAAAGCTAGTTACAAAAGAAAGTTTTTGGTTTTTTGGTTTTTCAGTACTGGGGATTGACCTCAGGAGCTTGTGCTTGCAAGGCAGGTGCGGTGCCACTGAGCTAAATCCCCATCCCCAAAAGTTTTTTATAAGCCATAAAGAACAGTGTTGGCCATGGGTGGGGATTTAGCTCAGTGATGCCTCCACCTGCCTGGCAAGCCCAAGGTTCTGAGTTTGATCCCGGAACCAAAAAACCCAATGTAGGCCAGGAGTAATGGCACATGCCTGTAATCTCAGCACTCAAGGCTAAGGCAGGAGGATCACTGCACATTTGAGACCAGCCTGGGCTACATAGTTCAAGGCCAGTATGAACTACATTGTGAGCCTTGTCTTCAATTAAAAAAAAAAAAAAGGAATGTGTAACAACATACAAACTTTAACTTTGGTATAATGTTACTACAAACAAGCTACAGATTGGGAGAAAGTATTTGTAACATGAGTTAATATCTCTGGAAGGCAGGATAACAACCTCCCAAGATGTCTATATCCTAGTCACTGGGATTTGAATATATTGTTTTACATGGCAAAGAACAGTTAAGGTTGTTCACTGACTGACTTTAAGATAGGAAGTGTGTCGTGGATTACCCAGCTGTATCCACTAATCATAAAGGTCCTTAAAAGAAGAGGCCAGAGTAATGCAATGTGGGAGCTTGCCTTCCCTTTGCTAGCTCTGAAGGGGCCAGTAGCTAAGGAATGTGGGTAGCCTCTAGGGTGAACCTTAGCTAGAGCCTACAGAAAAAAAATGCAGCCCTGCCAACCCCTCGATTTTATATCTGTGAGACATCAAGCTTCTGACAAAATATGTGCTATTTTGTGGTAATTGTTAACAGCAGTATTAGAAAGCTAGTAGAAAAATGAGTAATGGCTATGAATAGGCAATTAAAGAAGAAAAATCCTGATGTTACTAAACCTGCTAAAAGGCTCTTGTTTTCGTAGCCTTGGGGATAGGCGAACTGACCCCATGGAGTAAAAAAGAGCAGGCCTAAGAAGAAATGGTTAAAAAGTAATAACATGGGGAACATTAAGAAAGTTAAGCTTGCATAATGCTGAGCTCTGTACTTCTAGGATCTGATCGTGAGGGGATGTGGCTGTAGCAGAAGCTAATAGAGAACTCACATTCCACTACCCTGTGCTCCACAGAAGACAAGAGTGAGATTTGTGTAAATTAACGTCATTTATTAGGATTTTCTCTGCTTTTCTTTCATCTTTCCATTGTCTATCTGGTTTGGCTTCATGTCATGGGCTACAGGGTGCCAGTGCTACCGGTGTTTTCTCTATTGACTGGATTTTGTTGGCAGGGGTCCATGAGTACCTAAAAATTTGGCTAATAGCCTTTGGAGACCCCTAGTAATGGGAGCCTGGGATGTAGGGATTGGAAGATGCCTCTCCATGTGGGCCCACGGACAGTGCTTATAGTGCTTACCGTGCAGAGGGTTCTGTATGTCACCAGTCACCAGCCCTGCCCTTTGGTGATCCCGAGGACCAGCAACGTTGAGAAGCTGCTGAGGAAGCGCAGTGTGTTGAGAGGTCTGGCCCTTGTGCTGAGACCTTTGGGAAAGTCTGCTTACAGGGCCCTCTGCTAGTCTCCAGGCCTGATCAGGGTGGCTCTTTCCTGTAACTGTGGATGAGCCCAGTCTTGCATTTCCTCTTCCACATTCTACTGCTTTGAGTTTTCTGGGACTCTCTCTTATTTTGGCCAAAGATAGGGCCAAAGCCTTGTTTTGTCTCTTGCCTGAGGCCAGAACCCCAGTGTTTGAGGCCTTTCCCAAGTCTAAAAAGTTCTCAGCAGCCTTTTTGTGAAAATCTGGCCCATGGGATGGGATTCGGGCCACCATCTTCCCTTTTTTTCTCTCCTCTTTTTGAGACCGTTGCTCTTCCTGGTGAGAACCTGGTGGCTGAGGCTCCAGAGAGAAGGAGTGATGACAGTGGGAGTCCTGGACAGGCTGAGATGCTGTGCTCTGAACATTTGGGGGATGACAACATGAGTGGAGGTGCAGGTTGGTGGGATTCTGTGGGGCCCAGGAAGAGAGTTTCCAGGAGTCTAGATTAGTGGGACTCAGGGCAGCAGAGCTGCAAAATGGTTGACTTGGGCCAGGGGATGTGAAAGCAGGGTTCTGCTTCAGTTTCTTCAGTTTGTTCTCCAACTCCCTGCTCCATTGCCAGGCAGGGACCCTAGGGTGGGTGAGCACCGCTGGGACAGCCTGACCATGGGAAGATGGGACCTCTGCCTTAGCTCCTGCAAACGTTTCTCCTTTCTGTAGGCCACACTGAGTGGGTTCAATCTTGGGAGCTTCAACTTGGACAGGGGGCCAGGATATTGGATGTAGGGGATCTACTGCAGGGCTGGGGCCCCAGGGGACCTCTTTTTGTTGCACATTTTTATACACAGATTTAAGGTCAGTGTGTGCCTCTGGTAGAGGAGCAGAGAGTGAGCTGGAGGCTGGGAGTTCGGTGGCCCAGCAGTTCTTGCTCTGCTCTACTGCTTCCCCTGCAGGCTTACAATTGCTTTGGTCTCCAAAAGACTCATTTATGTGAGACTTAGAAACAGAGTTTGCAAGTGAGCTGGGACTCCAAATTGAGGATGCAGGGACACAATAGTTTTCTTTCTGTTCCATGTCCCCTGTAAAAGGCTCAGAGTCAGATACATCCAGGAGGCTTGCTCCATGCAGGTCTTGGAATAAACTAGGAGTTGGGAGCTCAGAGGCCCCAGAGTTCTTTTTTCTTTGTATATCTTCACATGTAGCTTCATCAGACAGAACTCTCATGGGGATAACCCCGAGAGGTTTGCATACAAGAGCAGGGGGTGGGCTGAGGGCCAGACACGGGGTCTCAGAAGCCCAGGAATTCTTTGAATGCTCAGTGACTTTCCATATAGTTTCTACTCTAGGGAGGCCACCCACAGTAGTGATTCTATGTGGTTCTACAGAGCAGGCTAGAGGTGTTATCTGAGCAGGCTCTGAGGAGTCAGATACCCAGAAGTACATTTTTTGCCTCTTGGTGTCCCACAAGGCTTTGGACTCTGACAGAAGTCCCTGGGAGCCTATTTCTAAAGACTGCAGCAGAGAGGCTGAGGGAAGGCTAGGAAGGCTGGGAGATGATACTGAGTCAGCAGAGACCCAAAGATCTCTCCTCTGTACATCCTTCCATGGAGTCTCAGATCCTGATGGGACACACACAGGTCTGGTTTCACAGAGCTCTGGGTTGAGGTCCGAGGCTGGGAGTTCAACAGCACGGGGATTTCCTGGGTTTGTCCTGAATCCCCATTGGGGTTCATATCCAAATGAATCTTCTGAGGGATTCTTTTCTTGGAGTTTTGAGTGGGAGTCTAGGGGAGAGAAGAGGACTGGCATTGGAGATTTAACCTGGGGGTTCTCCCTGTATCCCATGTTTCCCTGGAAGTTCTTAGGAGCAGAATCTTCAGGGCTGACTTTTGGAGATTCTGGCAGAGAAGCTAGAGGTTGGCAAGAGGCTGAAATTGAAGGTTCAGAAACTTGAGGGCTCTCTTTATGTCCTATGGTTCCCCACTGAGCTTCATATCCAGGTAGACTGGATGGGGCACTGGATCTTTGAGATTCTGTCATGGTTACTATGGTTTGGCAAGGGTTCAGGATTGGAGGCTCAGAGGTCTGAGGATCCTCCTTTTTCTCTATGGTTTCCCAGAGGGTCTTGGATCCAGATAGGCCTCCTATAGGACTGACTCTCTGGATTTCTGGCAGAGAAGCTGGAGTTGGGCTGGGAGCTGGCATTGCTGGCTCAGAGCCTTTTGGGTCCTTATTTTGCTTCATTGTCCTCAATGGGGCCTCAAACCTAGTCAGAACTCCCAGAGGGTTAGAGGCATATAATGGGGAGGTAGAGGGTGACTCTGGGTTATGTTGATGGAGTCTGGGGTCCCATGATTCTCCCCCGCAGGCCTCAGATGAGGATAAGCACTTGGAGGTTCTGATTCCTTGGAGTGAAGGCTGTGGGTACAGGGCTTGATCATCAGAGACCTGAAGAACCTCTCTCTTCTGTGTAAGCCACTGCTTGTGTGCCTCACCACCAGATAGGTCTCCACTGTAGTCCATAGGCAAGGACTTAAGATGGAGGGCTAGAGATGGAACAGGAAAGGAAGATGGAGGTGAAACTAGCTGAGCATTAGGGGCCATCCCTTCCCGGTCTTCCCTAGTATGGGCTTCATGGATAGGAAGTTGGGTTGGGGAACAGTAATGGGGAAGCAACAGGTTATACCAAGGCAGGAAAGGAAGCTTACTGAAGAAGACAGAAGGACAAACAGACAACTTCAGGGGAGAGGAGCCATCTGAGCTCAGAAAGATAGTCTCCAGGGACTCACTGTGCTGAGAGGGGAGACCGAAGAAAAGCTGGCCTTTTCTCTGCTGCAGGCAGCTCCCTGATGCGTTCTTGTTTCTTACAGGTAAGTTGGTAGGGATCTGAAAGGTGGGGAAGGATCTGAAGGGGCTTGAGGGCTGTGGGAATATTTGCTCTGTGGGAATTTGTGTCCCTGTGGCCTTAGGGAGGCTCTCAAAACCACAGGATGGCTGGAGTGGGGCTGTGGTGTCTTGGTCTCCAATGGGAGCTTCTTTAGGAGGAGAGCACAGTTTCACTGGATCCAGAGATGATGACTGGTCTTCCTTTTCTTCCCCCTCTTTTCCCTCTTTCTCCTCTGACTTTTTCTGCCACAGGTGATCAAAGAAAGTCAAATCATACAGAAGTGGTAGACCCTGGGGAATAGAGAAGGATATTCTCAGGCATTCAGAAATGAAAGGAATACCATAAAGTCCTCAGTTTCTGCTCTATATATCAAAGTAAACAATGTTTCACTTGGCCTCACATCTGTGGTCAGCAGTAACCCAATGTAAACAGTCATGACCCAGGCCTCATTTGGAGATCAGCATTTCCTTACCTAACCTTACGTCTTCAAATCTTTTGTCCAAGGATACTTAGCCAGCCTGAAATCTAGGGCTCCATGTGGGGCCACATTCATACCAATGATTCCTCAGCTGACCTCACATATAGTGTCCACAGTCTTTCATCCAGCTGTACATTCTTGTTCAGTCACCCACCTTGCCTTGCATCATGTTCCCAGAGTACCAGGATTCACGCTGTTGCCATCTTTGAATCTGCCAAACCACAAACAAGAATAGTATCACCAAATACCCTGGACTGTGGAGGCAGCAGTGGCCACAGTGGCTGCAGGCCAGAGCGTATGTCAGTAGGTCCCAAAGGAATCCCATATTTTCTGTAGCTCTCAGCAAGTCTTCAAACAGCCATTGCATTTTCCTTGCTCTAGTGGCAGTTTACTTTGAGGTCACCATTGCATCATAGAATAAAGAACTCCCATCCCCCACACTGGCCCAGCCCTAACAACCTTCTCCTTGAAATACCTCTCTCATACTCATACAATGAAATGAGTGATCCCCTTTTGACTTGGTTTTTGTGGTACCAAGTAGTTGAACCCATGCTAGGCAAATGCTCTGCCATTGAGGTACATCCTCAACCCTTTTTTAAAAAGTTTGAAAAAGGATCTCACTGAATTTCTCAGGCTGCGCTTGAACTTGCAGTCCTGTCTCAGCCTCCTGAGTATCTGGGAGTAGAGGTGTGCACACCAGTGCCAAGCCTGTTTTGTCTCGATTGCCAATGTCAGAATTATGCTTCTGGCATTAAGATTAAGGACATGAATTTTAGCATTGAACTGCCTTATTCCAGTACTAGTTCTACCACCTCCTACCAGTGAAACCTCAAACTATGAAATCTTTCCATGCCTCAATTTTATCTATAAAGTGGAGATAATATTATTACTCATCACAGAGTTACTTTGAAGATTAAATAAATATATGTGCTTAGAATAATGCCTGATACACAGTATATGCTATATTATAATTTTATTTCTTTTACAGTTCCTGATTATAACCTGTATTCATCTTTAATAGATGGGAACTGCCTCTCCCCCCTTGTTTGGTACTGGAGATCGAACTCAGGTCCTTGCACTTTCGGGGCAGGTGGCAGAGCCACTGAGCTAAATCCCCAGCATCTGCCCCTTTTAAAAAAATGCCATGTCAGCTAAGAACTGTCTTATTTGACTTCATGTTGCCAAAGATCCTTTTGAAAAGTGTTCATGGAAAGATAAAAAATAGCTAGGCATGGTGGTGCATACCTGTAATTTCATCACTCAGGAGATCAAAGCAAGGGGATCATGAGTTTTAGGCCAGCTGAGCTACATAATGAGACCCGGTCTCAAACAACCAGAAAGAGAGAGAGAGAAAGTGAGGGAGAGAGAGAAATGTGTTTAACCATTTCTGTTCCCATCCTTTCTGGGCTGAACTTCAATCCCTGCCTTTTCAGTACAGTTTAAGCCCCTGACCCTATCAAACACCAGTTTAATCTGATAGAGTGCTGAATTGCAAGTGAAGAGATACTGTTCTCTAGTTCTGTCACTGATTGGTCACGTGATCTTGATAAATCAAGAGAAATTTCTCCATTGGTACCATGAACTGGACTAGATTCATTTGTTCATTTATTCAACATGCAATTATTAAATGTCTCTTATAGATCAGGTATTGTGCCCAGTCTTGAGGTGAAAGAAGTAAGGTAAAATTTCTGAACTAAAGTCTCATTTCAGTGGGGAAACAGTTAAAAGTAACAGAAAATAAAACTAGAGATGTGCACAGGGTACTGTGGTCAGTGAAAAGGTATCTACCTCCCAGAAAGGATGATTAAACCTTGGTTGGAGGAATCAGGAAAGTGAGGGTGTTGAGTAGGAAGTAAGTGGAGAACGATCCGAGCAGTAGGAACAGCGTGGGTAAAGGTGCCAGGAAGTTGGAAGTTAAAGGTCCTTCAGTGTGGCTCTAATATTGGATGGGGCTGGAGAAGTAGTAGGAGATGCACCTGGACAGACAAGATCACGAAGAGCCTGAGGGAATACCAGGCTAAGAATTGGGAACATTCTGTTGAAGGTGATAGGAAATCATTGAAGAGTTTTAAACAGGAAAGTGACAAGATCAAGTTTTTGTCTTGGAAAGAAGACTCTAGCTGTAGTGAGAGCAAAGAGACTGGAGGTGAAAGATTAATTAGGGAGCTCTTGCTTTAGTTAAAACAAAGGAAAACATGAGGCCTGAACCAAAATCCTGATGGTGGGAATGGAGACTAGTGGATTCAAGTAGAATTTCAAAGATATAAGTGATTAGACTTAGTTTCTAATTGGATAGGGTTGGGGAGAGAGGAAGTTAGAATATGACTCCAGGGCTTCTGACTTGGGAAAGTAGATGTATGTTGATGCTATTTAACTGAGATAGGAAGCACAGACCTGAGAACCAATTAAGGATGGTGTTGGATTATTGGGATCTTTTTTTTATGGGATGTTGTATACATTTGAATTTGGGGTTCCTGTGACATCTCAGAATAAAGGTAAGGGGGAGAAGATACGTGGATCTGAAACTTGACAGAGTAGTCTATAAGGGATATAGATTTGACAGCTAGCAGCATGTATGTAGAAGCAGAAACCACAGAAAGATATAAAGATGACCTAGTGATAGGTAACATAAGGCCCAGACAGTGTGGCCCACAGTGGTTTATTTTTTAACCCCTCCCCCCCTTTTTTTTGGTACTGGGGATTGACCTTGGGTCCTTGTGCTTGCAAGGCAGGTGGCAGAACCACTGAGATAAATGCCCAGCCCCTATGCCCTTTTATTTGGGATTGAACCCAGGGTGTTCATGCTAAGCTACATCCTCAGCCCTTTAAAAAAATTTTATTTTGAGGTCTGGGGATTTAGCTCAGTGGTTCCGGTGCCTGCCTCACAAGCGCAAGGTCCTGAGTTCAATCCCTGGTACCAAAAAAAAAGAAAGAAAAAATTTTTATTTTGAGACAGGTTCTCACTAAGTTGCTAAATAGCTCAGATTGGGCTTGAAATGGCAATTCTACCTCAGCCTCCCAGAGTGTTGAGGTTGCAGATATACACCATCACACCAGGTTCAGAAAGCAATGTTTTTTTGGGTTTTGTTTTGTTTTGTTTTTTGAGATAGGATCTTGCTATGTAGTTCATACTGGCCTTGAACTCACTGTGTAGCCCAGGCTGGCCTTGAACTAGTGGTGATCCTTCTGCCTCAGCCTCCTGAGTGCTGGGATTATAGGCATGTGCCACCACACCTGGCTGTCCATTTGGATTTGTATTATCTATCTGATATTTGAGTTTGCAACCTCTGCATGAAGAAGGTAAGTTGAGTCTTAATGGGAAACAATACTAATGGGAAAAATACTGAATATTCTATGCTTGTTAATTTACATTTATGGCAGGTGATTTCCCAAGTTAGTAATTTCTATCTCCTACTCATGGCCAGAGGAGAATCCCAGTTGGATAAAAAGGTAACTATTCCAGGAATTCTAAATTTCTTGTCCTATGGAACTGTTAATGAATTTTGCATTTTCTGGTCCCTAATGAGAGCTGCAAAAAACCTGTTCTACGACCTTATCCAGGTGCCTTTGTGGATGGGAATTTAGCTGGGTATTGTTTTTTTTTGGTACTGGGGATCGAACTCAGGTCCTTGCACTTGCAAGGCAGGCGGGAGAACCACTGAGCTAAATCCCCAGCCCCTAAGCTGGGTATTCTTGAGATGTAGTGGGAGGAGTTTTGGGGTTGAAAGGAGAAGTGCCCAAGGACAGCAGTGGGCCTAAAGACTTCAGAAAAGAGATGTAGCAGTAGGTTTCATGAGTGGTAAGGTTTTACAGATGTCGACTCCGGGGCAGCAGGACTTCTGATAGGGAGAACAGATTTTTTTTTTTTAATTAACTTTGTTGTTGTTGTTTGTTTGTTTTTTTGTACCAGGGATTGAACTTGGGACCTTGCTCTTGCAAGGAGAGAGACAAAGACTCTGATAATGATCAATACTGTCTTCCCACCTCAGTGAGTGTGGGCTTTGACCCGATTTAATTTAAAAAGTAAATAATGAGGGGCCGGGGATTTAGCTCAGTGGTTTTGCCGCTTGCTGCGCAAGCGTAAGGACCCGAGTTCGATCCCTGGTACAAAAAAACCCACAAAAAACAAAACAAAACAAAAAAGTAAATAATGTAATATTTCTTTCTTCTCAGAGATGTGGAACAAATTTATATGCTAACATTTTTTTTTTTTGGTACCGGGGATCAAACTCGGGTCCTTGCGCTTGCAAGGCAGGCGGTGGAACCACTGAGCTAAATCCCCGGCCCTTATATGCTAACATTTATTTTCCCATTTAATCTTTTTTGGCTTAAATACCAGGCTTTCATAACTGTAGTTGCTGGGAATTTTAAGATCAAGGTGCTGGTCAATTCTTTTTTGGGGAGGCCCCCCCTTCCAAAATAGATGCCTTTTTTTTTTTTTAGTACTGGGGATCGAACTCAGGTTCTTGTGCTTGCAAGGCAAGCGGCAGAACCACTGAGCTAAATCCCTGGCCCCTAAAATAGATGCCTTTAAAACTCTTGGAAGTGTAGGTATTTCTTATCTCTTTTACATAGGGGAAACCAAGGTACAAAGATATATGTATATGGAGAAAGAGGGGGGGAGAAAGACCTGTATATCTTTATCATCTTGTGTTGTGAGGAATCACTTGGATAAAAGTGACAAAAATCCAACAGGTGTAAACAATGGGAATGAATTAACTCATAACTACACAGCTCAGGAGTAGGGCTCATTTCAGGTACTAGGGCTGATGCAGGAACCTAATTCAGTGCCACTGGGATTCAGTTTCGATTTCTTAGCCCTCTTCTGTGCTAACTTTATTCTTAGGTTTTACATGGCAGCAGGGATAAATGAAGGCTGAAAATCTGTCACTGACAACAGTCCCTGCAAGTCTTATTGTTTCTTATAGGCTCCAATTTGTCACAGATCCATCCTTGAACTACTCACTGAACTGTTCCAGTGGAATGGAGTCCTTATGCCTTAACACCCTTGGTGTAAGGATGTGGAAGGGACACCAATCCACCTGCACATGGCCTGAGACTGAAGAAGTGGGGTGTTACAGATCTTTCCAAAGTGCTTATTATCCCAGCACTTGGGAGTCTGGGGAGGACCACTGCAACTTGGAGTCAGCCTGAGCTACACAGTGAGTTCAAGGCCAGCCTGCACTACATATTGAGACCCTGTCTCAAAAAACCAAAACCAAACAAACAACCCCCCCAAAACAAAAACAAAACAAAAAATGAAACCAAAACAACATAGAAAATCTATTTCCAGAAAGATTCTAATGCTGATATCAAAACAAAACAAAATGGATGGCCATTACACCCTCTGTCATTTCCCCATTTTGTTTTCTGGCACAGAGCCATGCCACTGCCATTTAGTATTGGAAGCTTAAGTTGAAAGTGTGGGGCTGGGGATTTAGCTCAGTGGTGCTGCACCTGCCTCAAAAGCGCAAGGTCCTGAGTTCAATCCCTGATTAAAAAAAAAAAAAGTGTGAATGTAGATTCTCTGAAGGGAGGGACCTTGTCACCCAGTTCACTGCTCTAATCTCTGCAACTGATGCTTAGCACTGTATCTGGTTAGGGCTCAGTACCACAGAGTGAATGAATGAGAGATGGGTGGGATTTCTGAAACAGGCTGTCCCAGGGATGGGGCCTGACTGTGCTGTCCTCAGGCTTCCTAAGGAAGCCTCCTTCACAAGAGCCAAGTTTGAACGGGGCCTCCGGTGTTCACACCAGAAGTAACCACAGGTCCCTTTGCCCTCTCCCTTCTTCTCCCTCCCCTCTTACTCTTCATTCTCCTACTCCTCCATTTTCCAGATGAAGAGTGAAGGGCCAGCCAGTGGCCGGGCTCCAGTTGCCACATGGGCTT